GATAATGAAATATGTGTTGTGGTTGTTGCTTCTTCTTGATGATGGGGTCGGAAAGTGAACTGCTGGAATAGGTGGTTGGCGGATGCTGTGGTGTGGTTTTCTCCTTCTTTCCTATTTTTCGTCCTTATTTTTCTTCCTTCTACTGTTTTTTTTTTTTTGGTTTGTTTGTTGCTCTTTACTCTTTTTTTAACGCCTCAAATCTCCCACGCTTGCGTGACCTAAGTTGAGAATCTTTCGTGAAACATGTGTAGGGCATCTATCGTACCCAGGCTACATGTATGAATAAATGGATGGATGAATGGATGGGTTGATGTTTGGATAGATGGATGGATGCGTATAAGGGCGGATGGATGGATGGGTGGATGAATCACGGACAAATAGATTATTCAGGTAGATCAATATGTGGATATCGGGTATAATATTGTGTAGTATAATATGAATGGATTGATAAGACAATAAAGTTTTCGACAGGTACTGTCAAGCAGGTATAGACGACTATGGGCAGCCAGACCGATGAAAGTATTGATGGAAATTTTTCCTTTAGAATGATAGATGGTTTAATTGAATTTGCTGGACGTGGGAGGTAATTGCGTGGATTTTGTTTTGGGAAAAAGCATGGAAACGAGAAATGCCGTTCTTGAGCTTTTGGGAAATCGGAGAAAGGACATAATTTACCCTTTTTCGGACTGAAATTGAACGCACACTAAAGAGATCCTCTGTTGGAGTCTTTATTACTCATCGGAGACAGCTTAAAGCTGTTTTATTGTCTCCCCGGTGTACATTTACTGCGCGCCCTTCCACCGTCGCTCCCAAAAGGCCAGTTTGTTTGCAAGAGCGGCCGATGCGATGCTTCTACTCACGCTGTCGTCTTCTGTGAGGGCTCTGAGCACCAGCTCACCTACTGTTTCCCCTGGGCTCCAGCTTTTGGAGCCCCACCCCCTTCCCCATCTTCTGTCCACCCCCCTCCCTCAGACACTCCCTCCTTCACTCCTTTTTTCCCAGATACGCACGTAATTTTCTCGAAACACCCATACACTAACGTAGCGCCCTTGTACGTGTGCATGTGTCGAAGGGACATTTGGACAGCAAACGAGAGAGGGAGAGAGAGAGAGAGAGAGAGAGAGAGAGAGAGAGAGATGGGGTGGGGGGGGCAAGTTGTTCAGTTTTTATCGAGTTATCCATGTTTTCCATCCCACTGCAGTCTTTTCTTATCTGAAGCCCCCCCCGCCCCCACTGCTTTTTTCCGACCGTCATTTCTGATTTTCTTTTTTCTTATATTTCTTTGGTTCAACAAGTATCACTCACTATTCGACAAGGCATTGACATGACCCGCAGTTTGTCTACGTTCCTGACTGTTTATCGATTTCCTTCCCTCGAATACAATAAACCAAGCATTTACATCGAGACAGCTCTTAGCCGGCACTCAAAAGTCTCGAAGCAGAAGCGATGTATGCATCAGCACACGCAGGTCATAGAGCCGGCCGTCCAGTTTTCCGAATTCATTGCAGTTAACGATGGTCATGCTTGCTACGGGAAAGTGAGTAGACTGCGCCCAACACCCCCCCCCCCCTTCACACAGACACCCAACCCTTTTCCTCTTTGTGTTTGTGGGGTTGGGGTGGGGAGGGGGGGTGGGGAAAGGTCAG